ATTTAAAAAAATAAATAAAAAAAAAATAAAAAGATTCCCAGGTGATTCTAATGTGCAGCCAAGGTTGAGAACCACTGCCATAAAGGCTTACTTTACTTTCTTATAAAGCAACATTTCCCAAACCATATTACTTGAGAAACAGGTTATTCATCAGTAGGAAAAGGGTTCTACAGTCAAATAAACTTTTTGGAAAACTGCATGCTATCTTCCCTTAGAGATTCACAACACACGAGTATATTACAAGCTCTAGAAATACAAAAGACCATGCTATTAAAAAATAACCTACCTAACTATATGTCCCAAATGTACTTAAACACAAATAAATAAGTGAATAATGATGTTTATGTAATTCTTAAATTAAGGCCATCTGTTTTTTAAATATATAAAATCAGAATTAAATTCACAAATTATTTCCTGGTTTATATCAAACCACATAGGTTAATTCTGCATATCACTGATTTATCTAAAGGTCTTGGTACCCACCCTAAATGTTCCCAGCTTTTCATGAACTTTTCTATCCTCTTATAAACCTAAAAATTTCTTTGTCATAGCTCCCATTGGATGCAATCAGCCAAAGGCTACAGTGAGCAAACAAGGGTATTAATATGTATGTCTTTTGCTTTTAAACATTTACAGCAGGAAGTGACTCTTCCTTTTAAATTTTGTCATGTATTCATACCTCTCAAGATATATATAACCTACTAGAGGCCCGGAGCACCAAATTCCTGCACTCCGCGGAGAGTGGACGTAAGCCATCAGTCGGACATCCTTAGTGCTGCCGTGGAGGTGGGAGAGGCTCCCACTACTGCCGCTGCGCTCGCCAGCCGTGAGTCCTGCGTTGAGCATCTGTCCCCTGGTGATCTGTGTGCATCATAGCAACCAGTCTTTCTGCTGTTCAGTCGATTTGCATATTGGCCTCTTATTATATAGGATACTAGAGGCCCAGTGCACGGATTCGTGCGCCAGTGGGGGTCCCTCGGGCTGGCCTGCACCCTCTTGCAATCCGGGACCCCTCGGGGGACGTCAGAGGCCTGGTGCACATATTCAGCCCCATCCTCACAGGCCAGGCTGAAGAATCCGTGCACTGAGCCTCTAGTATGCATATAAGATCTTTGGTTAATCTCTTCCCTCCCTCCCTCCTCCCCTTCCCTCTGAGATTCATCAGTCTGTTCCATGTTTCCATGCCTGTGTGGAGTGTCCACCCCCTGGTGGTCAGTGCGTGTCATAGCTACTGTTCGAACAGTCAAACAGTTACTTAGGCTTTGTATTATATGAGGGAAGGCACTCTGACTTAATCTTCATTGTATCACTCACAGCAATAAGCACAGACCTGGGAATATCACATCAATCTGAAACACTTCTAATAAAGAAAAGAAAAACATCATTATTTTTAATAAAAGTTTTCCTTATTTTTGCCTTTGTTTTTTCTCCCATTTTAAAATGTGAAGAAAGAAGAATTAGATGAGTACCAATTTGTATAGGATGTCATTTCAAGTTTTACCTTTGACTCAAACAGGAAAAGGATCCATTACTGCCCATCTCCTCAGGATGTTGGAGATGTGCTGGAGCCTTGTGCCCCACCTACCAGGATCAGGTGAGTGATGTCCCAGCAGGAGACAACTAAGTGGAAAGACTCTTTCTCTTTACTCACCAGTGAGTTTATTTCACTTATAGAGCCCTATTGGCAATCTTGGTATTTAAAAGAAGGCATGGGGGGAAAAAAAAGAAAGTATCGAAAAAAAAGTTGTGCTTTTATTTTCATGTCCACAAAAGAGCAGGAAGACAGGAGTATGAAAAATAGAGAAAGATTAAATTCCTTTTATAAAAAGTAACCAAGTACCTAAAAGGACCACAAAGTAGACAAATGTGCAGTGAATCTCTGATTTTCCTACTGTGTGTCCAACACTCATTATGATCTCATTTTCAGGCAACTACTTTTAGGGCTTAAATACTAACTCCTTTTAAACAGTATGAACATGTTAAAATACAAAATGAAAATCTCAATTTGTTGATTCTTTGAGAATATCTAGTTAAGATAACATCAATCATAAATCTACAGTATGTATTTCATACAAAAAATTTCACCCACCCTTCCAGAAATTTATAAATATACTCTACCTTTTTTCTTTTTCATTGGTTCATGGCTATCAGGTGATGTAGGAATAGGAGAGGTATCCATTGGTTCAGATTCTTCAGTTGACACCTCCACTACAGTTTCTGTAATGACATCTGGCCTCATAGCAGCATGGATAAATTCTGGAGTTGATACACAAGGAGGGACAAACACTTCCACTATAAAAAAAAAGTTGAAAAATTAAAATTTCCCTCCCCCATTAATGCTTCTTACTGTGGACAATTCAATACTTAGTAAAGGTGAGGTTTAATAATTCATCAAAGCAGGGTAAGAACTTGAAGTTAACTTTCTGAATATGCAATATGATCTAAAGTATGTAAGAAAATAAAATGCAAGAAAAATCAACTTAAAGAAAATGTTAATCCTCTGGGTAAGGAGGGGAGATGAGTAGTCACCTTCCGGTCTTCACACTTTTAAATACAGAGTGGGGCAAAAGTTAGTTTAAGTTGGAAAATAATACAATAATTAATAAATAATAATACAGGAATAAACTCTGTATTTCACGTACTCACAACTGTAAACCTACTCTCTTCCCACCCTGTATTTTTAAGCTCATTGTAGACGACTGTATTATTTTGACAACTGGGAAAATATTTGAAAATAAAATAATGAGTTCTTTAATACTTTCTGTCCATGAACCCATCATTATTTTCTAACTAGGTAATTCATGCACATAGTATAAAATTTAAAACATTTAATAAATGATTTCAGTGATAAGTACTTATAATTCATTTTAAAATATGAAAAAAAGGAAAATATGCTCATTACAGCCCAATGAATATTTTTGATATTTAAAACTTTATTTAATGAAACAGCCCTGAATTTTGGGTCACTAAAACAGTACATAAAGATTGCTATATGGCACTCTATTACAAACAATAATGTTGTCCCGGCTTTCTTCCAATGTGCATAAATAATCAGGATGACATTTCTATTTCAATAAAGAGATAGTTAATACCTACTCTCATGGATTAACACACCGACCAATATGTCCTAATTTTCTTTTCGTACTTGTGAATACATAGGATTCCTATTTTACTTTAAAAGTCTGGTTACTCTTAGTATTTATTGTAAAATCCTGTAAGAAGAAGGTCCAGCCCAGATGTGTGGCTCAGAGGTTTAGCACTGACCTATGAACCAAGAGGTCACGGTTTAATTCCCAGTCAGGGCACATGCCCAGGTTGCTGTCTCAATCCCCAATAGAGGGCATGCAGGAGGCAGCCAATCAATGATTCTCTTTCATCATTGATGTTTCTATCTCTCCCTCCCTCTCTCTCCCCCTCTCTTCCTCTCTCCAAAATCAATAAAAATATATTAAAAAAAAGAAAGAAAGAAGAAGGTCCAAACTTACTGTATCAAGTTAAATTAACATCAGAATATTAAAATTAGGGCGTCAGTCAGACATCCCCCGAGGGCTCCCGGACTGCAAGAGGGCGCAGGCTGGGCTGAGGGCCCCCCCCCCCCCCCCCCCCGCCATCTGCCATTCACTTAAGGACTACTGTACAAAGGTTTATAAATTTACCCAGAGTTAAGGAAGACATGATAGTCTAAATAGCAACTTAATAAACTTCTCTCTGTCTATACTGGGCATTCATTTATTATGAAAATTAAGTATTTAAGACTTGGGTACTTTGACAAATAAAGATCAAGTACTGCTGTCACAGGTATTCATGTATAACCGATCTTGAGAACACCAACAATGCCCCTGTATCTTAAAAAATTTCATTCTAGATACATGAAGTGATGTGACAGGTTTAATATAAATAGGGAAGTTCACATACCAGGACTTCTTGAATCCCTCAAGCAGGTAGGAGATTCCATATGAAGCAGGGCTTCAGCAGCTTCAATTGTCTTATCTGTACAGTGTGCATTACTGCTATGAACTGATGCTTCCACTGGGGGGAAAATAAGTTCTACTTAATTAAAAATGCACTGAACACATTACTAAATTAAAACACACTGCTGTAGAAGACATAACTACAAATTAATTCTCATGTGCATAACTAAGTCACTGATATACATTAGTTTATGTAATTTATTTATAAAGATGCTTTAAACACCAAAACAATCTAGTATCCTCACTTTGTAAAATGAAGGTTAACTATAAAGCAACTGAGATTGGCTAGCAATTACTGAGAAATTTCTGAAACTTATCCAAAGGAAAACAAAGAAAAACCCTTAAAATTTTAAACCTGTATCAATTTTAGGCCAAAACTAACCTATGGAGAAAAAGGATGGTTGTGAATTAACAATCCTAAAGTCAATTATATATTTTAATATACTGTTACTAAAATCAGGGGTCATGATATCAAAATTAGTCAGAAATACATATTTCTAAGTTACTTTAACGAATTAGTTAAATTCCTACAGACCCTCCTGGGTGTGCGAATTAGCTGCAGCACCAAAGCATGTGGGAATTTCCTTCGCAATAACCTTGCTCTCTCCTTCAGGACTTGGCTAGGTGTTACCCAAGAAATTTTTTTTTAAAGAGTTTTTATGGTTTTGTTTTGTTTTCCATGAATCTTTTTCTGATTTTACCACCTTTTGTAACTCTCTCCTTGAACTTAGTTTATTGCTTTGCTGATTGAATTATTTGTGAAGCAGTAAAGTGTACGGCAGAGGTTTGGACTTCCAGGTCTAAGAGCTTGGGTTCTAGCCTCTGCCACTTATACCAGTAATTTCTGTTACCCTATGCCAGCAATTTACTTTCTTATAAGGCGGGTTTCCTAATACAAAACAGTAGTATTCCTTACCTCACATAGTTGTAAGAATAAAGTGAGGTGACTCCCATAAAAAGCATACACATAGATAAAAATTCAATAAACTCTTTGAGATCAGAGTGGCTATATTAATTCATCTTCATATCTGTTTTAGTTCCTAACAGAGACCTTTCATATAGTAGGCAGGCAAGTATGTCTTTTATGTATTGAAATTTAAGAACAACCCAATGACCCTACAGGAAAATAGGCAATTCAAGAACAAACTTATTATCTTAACGAAATATTAATTTCATATCCGGACTTAAAACATTGAATGTTTTACTTGGTGAAAGGTTCTGAAACATGAATATGTAACAGTTTCTAATCCTCTAAAGGAACTAAAAGAAAGTATTTATACAAATTCCATAAAACCATATTATAAATCCACAAGTTCTACACACTTAAGATATGAATCTTTTAAAACCGTTTCCAGGAAACTTTTAATTGGAAAAAAAAAAAAATTCACTTAGTCTCAAAATTCCCCAAATGCTCAGCCTTAAACACCAGTCATTTAGAGACCATTTATTTTAAAAAATCCAGTGACTGTTTTTACCACCTGTTGCACATCATCCACACTCTCAACCAAGGTACTGGGTCTCTCCAGTTGCTCTGTCCATTTATGGAAATCTGCTCAAAGCTGACCGGTTCCAGAGAGGCAGCCAAACCTCTAAGTAAATCTATCTTTAGGTGACCCTGCTTACTCTTATCTGCAGCTTCACTGAAGCAAAGGATTCAATCAGTCCTTACAGCTCAGCTTTAAGAAACTTAGTATTAGTAAGTATAAATATGCTGCAGTTCTCAAGTATATTCTTCAAAGTACCTCCCTATAATACTCACATACATAAAGAATCCTGGTAAGCAAATTCTCAAGTTTTTAAAATTTATACCAGGAACTTCATTCTCTTCAAGGTCTGCTTGTGTTGCAATTTAGCTGTTGTCTTAGCTGCTATTAATAAACCACCCAGGGTAAACTAATTCCTTATGTAATTGTATTAAGACATACCCTAAAAACTACCGTATTAAAATGGGAGCTTCAAGTATTTGATACAATACAGCAATAGAATTATATCAGATTTTCAAGTTATAAAACAAAAATGAAATATGTCTAGCAATTATACATTATGTTGCCGAGTTCTTAAATAGTTTGAGGTACATTTTCAAGACCATAATTTCGTATTAGTTATGTCAGTGGAAATTATTTTCTTGCCTATATTTCTGACCTCAACATATTATATTTTCCCAGAAATTTTCTATTTACAGATTAAAACAAATAAAATACATCCAAATTTAAGGAGAAAACTTATTTATTCATACTTTAAATTTAGGATGGGAATATACATAAATTTTCTATGAAGTTTCAATCAGAAGATCTAATTATATACAATTGACAAATGGTTGTTGAGCATTTCTCACGATGTACCAGTCCCTATGCCATAAAACTGAGGTAAGTGTAACTAGATCACTGGCCTCGTGTAGCTAGATAATGACAAAACATAAATGGAAGTAAAATATTTCAAAACTAAATGAAAGTGCAAAATTAATTTAAAGTTACTCTGTAAGCTAAGTTTGTTTAAAAGGAGTGCTGATTTCTTTCTTTTATACTTATTTTATTTTTTGTCAATTTACTAAAATAACCCTAAGCACCTATTTAAGAAATGAACACCTAAGAAATCACTTAGATCAATTTACAGTAATGTACCCATGATAGTTTCCAAGAATATTTCACCCATTTTATAAAAAGTGACACTATCTTTTCCCTTTTCTTTCAACAAGTCTTTTTTTTTTAAATATATTTTTTATTGATTTCAAAGAGAAAGAGGGAGAGAGAGATAGAAACATCAATGATGAGAGAGAATCACTGATTGGCTGCCTCCTGCAAGCTCCCCACTGGGGATCGAGCCCACAACTTGGGCATGTGCCCTTGACCGGAATCGAACCTGGGACCTTTCAGTTCGCAGTCCGACGCTCTATCCACTGAGCCAAACCAGCTAGGGCAACAAGTCATTTTTTATAACAGGAATTTAAGAGAGATTTCTCCTCTTCAAGTTTCTGTAATTTTCAAAAACTTTTTAATACTAGATGCCCTGCTCAATAATTCAATCACAATTTAAACTAAAAATTTTACACAACTCTTAAGGATAAACATAAATTTAACAGTTTTGTGTAATCAAAGTAAGCAAACTTATAAGCAATGGCTGAAAATTCCTTTTTTCTCACTTAAAACCTGACTTGCTGGAGTCTTTCTAAACCTATGTATAAAAAATGTGGGAGAAAATAATAAGCAACTCATTTTAAAAATAGTAACAATGAAGCTAAAAGTAATCTAAGAGTTTTTTTCTAGTTAACACTAGTAGTTGGTGTTGCTGGTAAATACTCCTTGAAGAAATAAATCTATCAAATAAATTTCAAAACTATTTTAATTTTAATCATAGAGCCATTAAATTTGCTTATGCCTTCTTTTACCATTGGTAAGAGGTCTTCTTGTTCGTTTCTAGCTTTCTAATCAACTGGTGTTTGTATGGTAGATTATTCCAGACTCACTCAACAGCTGTTACTAAATACCAAACTTGGTAATTAAGTCTGACAAGAGACATACCTCTCAGCTTTGCAGAAGAGAATGCTGGCAATGGACCTAGTTCATAACAATGTTCTTAAAAGTCAAAAATATAACTTGATAGCAATTTAACTTAGAGCAATGGAAAAAAAATCAGAAAACACTTCATTAGGTGATAGTGGTATCCCCCTACAAGCAAGACCATAAACATTACAAGGTCATCACTCAACTATCTGATCTACCACACCTTATCCTCTAATGCCCCAAGGCTATGTATGACATAACGGGTGAGTGAAGAATATGAATGAACGCTATGAAAAGAGGGAAAAGGTAAAGGCCTGGGACACTCTCATCTTTACCTGTTCCCCTTTAACTTTCTCATCAATAGTTGTTATAAGGTTTAAAAGGGAAAGAAAATAAAATTATTTTCTAAAGTAGAGCTGTCTGATAAAAACATAACATGAGCCAGGCCGGCATGGCTCAGTGGTTGAGTGTGGACCTATGAGCCAGGAGATCACCGTTCGAGTTCCAGTCAGGACACATACCCCGGTTGCAGGCTCCATCCCCGATGTGGGGCATGCCGGAGGCAGCTGATCAATGATTCTCATCATTGATGTTTCTCTCTCCCCTTCTCTTCCTTTCTGAAATCAATAAAAATATATTACATATATAAAACACGAGCTACATATAATTCTTAAATTTCGTTACATTAAAAGCAGGTCAAATTAATACCTTTCATTTAATCCAGTATATGCAAGATAATGTCATTTCAACATGTAATTGACAAAGTTTTCCACTGCTAAGTTTTTACATTTAAATTAATTAAAATTTTTAAAAATTCAGTTTCTCACCCACATTTCATGTACTCAATAGCCTCATGTGGCTAGTGGCCACAGTACTGAAAAGTGTTTACTAAATAAAACTATATTTCAGCTATTCTCTAACTTTTTTGGTAAAAGGGCCCCTTTACATCCAATTTAAGGACTGCCGAGATTTTGTATGTATAAATAGTTCTATGTGTATTTATACTATTTGAAATTAAATCTATCAAAACTTCAAAATATTTATTAACTCATTTAATTAACCCAATACTTGTAAACATAAGTAACACTTTATGCAAAATAACCTTTCCTTTTTTTAAATATAGTTTTATTGATTTCAGAGAAGAAGGGAGAGGGAGTGATAGAAACATCAATGATGAGAGAGAATCATTGATTGGCTGCCTCCTACACACCCCACACTGAGGATGGAGCCTGCAACCTGGGCATGTGCTCTGACCAGGAATCGAACTTCAACCTCCTGGCTCATAGGTCCACACTCAACCACTGAGCCAAAATAACCTTTCTAAAACAAAAAAATTCACTGAGTAGCTTTGTTTTACACTTTTTTACAAATCTTTTAAATACATGGTGGAAAACAGTTGAACTCTTATTTGCTTCTTCATTCAGTATGCTGGAGTATCAAGTCATGTAGCCTCCAGAAAACTCCTCAGAACACTTGTGAAAGTGAAAACGTAAATATGTAATGTCTTAGTATTATTATGAAAACAATTTTGACTTCACAGACTCCCAGAATTCCCAAACCAGAAATTTGTGTTTTTTAGAACTGCAGCTGTAATTTGTAATCAAATGTAATTATATAATAAACACCCAAATTCTATCCCCATGTTTCTGTAAGTTTTAACTTCTAAACATAAACATCAAAGTATCCATTTCCATAAGCACAACAATATTTTGTCCACTTACACGTAAGAGATTTTTTAAGTTTCTCATAAATATTCTTTGCAACCTTTTGAACATTTAATTTACATTAACACAGAGTTTAAATAATTACCAAGAACACTCTCATGCCTGCCCCGTGCACCAACCAAATTTATTTCTGAAGGAAATTGTTTTGTTGAATTATCCTGATTGACTACACTGATGTTACTCTTTAACTCAGTTTTTATATGGTTTTTAGTACTAATGCTGCAATGAATTCTTAAGAGTAATTTCTTAAACACAGTTTCAAGTAAATTTTTAAAAAAGTTAATGCCATTCTTGCCCTGGCCTGTGTTTCTCAGTGGTTCGAGCTTCGGCCTGTGGCACAGTACCTGGGTTGCAGATTGATCCCCAGCCCCAGTAGGGACAAGTGCAGGAGGCAGACAATGGTGTGTCTCTCTCACATCGATGTTTCTCTTTCTTTCTCTCTCTCCTTCCCTTTCACTCTCTCAAAAATTCATACATACATTAAATAAATAAATAAATAAATAAATAAATAAATAAATAAATAGATTAACAAAAACAAGTTAATGCCATTCTTTGTTTTATTTCAACATATGCTTCATCTTTTCACATCCTGTTAAACTTTTTCCAGATTGATACTAGACATTCCAATATATAGTAAATTAGAAATAAGATTTTCAAGTGCAAATTTCACGATGAATTTTGACAAACCAGACACATTTGTTTTGTTAGTGAAAATACTTAGGCTAAATTTCTAGAAAAAATTCCCTCCTTCAATTTAATAACTGCCTTAAAGTAGAACAAAGCTTCTGGTGACTCTACTTCTCAATTCTCAAAAAGAAGAAGAACAAAAAAAGTCAAGAAAAGTATATTTGAGAATAAGAAGGCAGAATATTTTAAATTGAAAATCTTCAAGAAAATCCAGATTATACATACACAATACTTTTGCTGAAATATTAAGGGACATTCTTTTTTTCCTATAGACATCCATTTTTCCTATAATAAGCTATATATATGTACATACTAGAAATGAGCCTAAATTATTAAGTAAATTATATCATAGTCATATTCAAGTTCCAAGACTGGCTAAAAGAAAGTGAGTATCCTCCCAATTACATAACCTTAGACATATTCATTCACATGGCATAATGTAAAGAAATCCAAAAAAAAGAAAAGCCTTCACTTCCTATTAAATATTTGAGCCACTTATAATTTCAGAACTTTAAAAGTTATTATAGATCACCTAATCAATCCTAATGAAGTCTTAAAGAGTACAGAGATAGTTTAGTGACAGCCAGATATGTAGGTCCTCTTCTCCTGACTTCAGAAGTAAGGCTCTTTCTCATATCATGTTGCCAGTGAAAGTTTTATCAAGTATGTCAACTCTTTTTATGTTAAAATGATTTTTAATAACGAAGCTTACTTATTTCATTCTTTACTCAAACTCTTCTGACAGCATGTTTATAACTAAAGCTGAAGTTGATAGCTAACTAAAGTTGATAGTTAAGCCTCTAAAGGAGGAAAGTAAAAGCAAAATATATCCTCTAGCACCTTTATAACAGTGTTAACATATAACAATATTAAGTGCTTTGCTTAGAAAAAAAGTTTAGCAAACAATATTCAACTGAAAATCTTATCTCCTCCATAACTTTTCCTTACTATCAGTCATTCTACACTAATCATCAACCCATTATATCAATCACTGTATATACCTATGTAGATTTTTATCTGTCTCCTCAATTTGACTGTAAAATCTTTGTGGAAGGATGATGTGTAACACCTGACAACTTCCCTCAAGGGAATTAAAAAGGTATCATCTCGTCCATTTTACAATGACAAACATTATAAACTACTCTCCCACTGTCATTGGAAACTGGCAGCAATAAAAATTTAGATCCCCGGTTCTACATTTCCTGGGCCACCTTTCCTCCCAACTTTAACTCACTGAACAAACCTAGTGTAAATCAGCAAACCTATCTCAAGTTTCCTTCTAAAATAGGACTTGTAAAGGAGCTTCAGATTACACGAACATGATTGAGGAAATAATTTGAAAACAATTATACATAAAACATATTTACAAGACATTAAAATCATGAAGTAAACTTCAATTGTAAGGTTTATATATACTAAGTAAATGCAGTAGGGCTGCAAGTCGGCTTTTAACTTAAAAAACACCACCACCACCTTAACAAAGGGATATAAAATATTTGTATTTTCAGACTGTAGGCTGCCTATATGTATCCACTCCAAGCAAAATATCTACAGTTCACATTCAGTTTCACTAATAACTCTAAAAGCTTATTAAAAAAATATACCTTCCATAGACAAAATTAAGCCCTTTACCTTTACAATATTTTTCAAAGTTCTAACTGCAGGGGTTATTCTAAGGTTCTCTCCATATGTTCAAAACCACTGGAACCATTTTCTGAAATGTACATGTTTCTCACTCACAGAAATATCACTGACCCAATCAATCCTACAAAGCCAAAAATTCCATCCCTTAATTCATATTATGTTATTAGTGAACTGAGCATACACAAAGGAACCAAGTTCTCTTTGGACTCTACCTCTTATTCACTAAGTTCTTGCTCTGATCAGAAAATAACTGACAAATGTGTTTTAATCACTACTCAGTACACTGATTTTTTTTCCCTAAAGACCTTTAAAACGTCTTGTATTGCATTTTACAGAATAAAGATTGGTCACTCATGTGTTATACCATACATACGGTTACAGTATTCCAGAGTTTCTTTAAACTTAAAGTTCTGTTAAATTCAGAGATACACATGTGATTATGATTGCCCCCAGTCGAACAGAATCACAGTTTCACCAACCAAACTAATTTCACGTGCCCTACCTAAAAACAATGGCTGGAAAACAGAGGGGCAACATCTTTTACAGCATTACTCCTTGGTATTTCCCATCTTCCAATCCCCATCGGTGGCGATATGAAATAGAACCCGGGGAAAGGAACATGTGTTTATTATTCTAGTAAGTAAATAGGATGCAAGCACTGCTGCACCGATTCCGGGCCCTCGCTGCGCTGTCCATTAAGTAAAGCTGCCGCTTCTATGTAACTTAAGTCCGTGCCCTTCCGCTGCAGCAGTGGCGCTGCACATCCCCCACCCCCGCGGCCACTTCCGTGTTTACACTCCTCTTCCCTCCAATTCCATGCGTACATTGTCAGCTTCACTCCCGCCCAATCTCCATTGGTCCAGCGCGAGCCCTGAGTCCCGCCCCCAGAAATCAACGTTCTCATTTGGAACATCTCAGCGAGCAGATTGGAACAAGAGGCCTGTCAATCCCGGCCGTTCTGTCCTCTCCGAGGCGCTTCCGCTATGGTGGGAGGTTTGGGGGGGAGGGGGTACGGGGGCAATTCCGTGCCGAGACTTCCCTGGGGCCGAGACTCCCTCCCGCCGCCCCACTCCTTCGCATTCACCCACTGTTTACAAAAATTGGCCTCCTCCTCTGACACCCCAACGCGCCAGGTCGGGGGTACACAAGAAATTCCGTGTCCTTCCCATTCTCCCCCTAAAAAAAAACACCCACCCACGAGGGAAGGGGCATGAGCCTACTTCTTCACTGCCACCCAGGAGATGAGGAAGGGGCGGCGGGCGACCGGGAGACGCCGCACCCCGGGCCGCCCCACGCCGAGTGACCCTTCCAGAACCGTTACTCGGAGGCTGCACAAGGTGGGGAGGGTCAGGCATTTTTTTTGGCGGGTAGCGGTCCACCGGACATGGCCCGGGCTGCCCCGTCCATGCGGAAGTCGTGGGTCCGTGGACCGGGTCTGAGAAGAACGGGGCGGGGGCG